TCGGTTTTTGCCAAAAAAAATTGTATTTACTGTGCAATAATTTTCTTCTTAGTTATTTAAAATGACAGAGCTGTTGCCTTGTGTTTAAAAAATTGGTCTTATAGCGTGAGCGATGTGCCTTTTACTTCCCGTGGACAAACGCGCGGACAGGATGTAGTACAAGCTTGTCGCATGAGCCGGCGCCAAAAGTTCACAAGTACGTACAGCTAGCTGCGCGTTGATTTAGCAAGAACATGCTTATCTTATCTTCACCTGCTCAATAAATAAATAAAAGCGATCACGATCCACCAGCACAAACGGATGCACGAGGCACAAACGGATGCACGAGGCTAGCCAGGGAATGCAATGCATGGAAGCTTCGTGGATCCGAGCATGGCGCTTGGGGGAAGTTTCTCTTCTCGATTTAGGGAGGTTTGGGCTCATATTTGGGCAAAAGAGGGCATTTTTGGCGAGAGGGGCGTTTGTAAATCCTGAAATTTTATTGAATTCAGAAACTTACGCGGAGCGGTAAATACATGAAATCTAAAAAAAAACAGTTTTTAGTATGATTTGGGCCGTCATGCCGTTGTGCTTTGGTGGTCAGCGATGGACACATGGTGCTGCAGCAATGGTTCCGATGATTCGCGCATCCCAGGTGGCCCAAAAACGTTGGCCTTTATCTCTTTGGGGATTCATGAGTTTTGTGCGCAAGCTTTGAACCGACTCATGTCAGTGCCTGCATTGGCGGTGCTTTTGGGTGTCGTTTTTCCCTTTGGAGGCATTGCAGCTTTTTGGGTGAAAACCTAAAAGCTTTGGATAGTTTTCAGAGCGGGCGACGGTGGTGTCTTCATCGTCTCCCCCTTAGAGGCGTTGCTTGGGAGAGCTAGTTTGCTTGTTGCGCGCGGTTTCTTCTTCGTCGGGTTTTGGAGGATGTCGGGGCAGTGGCCCTGGGAGGTTGATGTGCGCCGAGGGTATGGCCTCGAGCAAAGATGTGGGGAGACGACTCCATGAGGTGGGGCAACGACTCAACCTTCACTTGATGGCACCCTTCCTCACTTGGGTGGTAGGTTTTTCAATTCGGTCGACACACTGAGTTTGACTTTATGTTCGGGCGATGGCTCCAGATGTGGTGGTGTAGCGGTCATGTCTGCGGGTGGTTGCCCTGAGCGGCTTGGGCTGGGGTGGTTAGGTCGTGCGGCGTTGCAGCTTGAGGGCGCGTGGCGGCATGTCGGGGTGGTGATCCCGGAAGACGGTGTTGGTGAACCACGCAAGACGTGACAGAGTGAATGGAAGTCGGGGTAGTAGCCTCGAGAGTTCAGCAACATCGGTTGTGTCAACCTCATGTCACGTGGGCAGCGCGGTTGCTCTCAACATTGGTCGTCGGCATGTCAAATGTCGCATTTGGCGCAGAGTCCTATGGAAAGCTTGCATCCTCACCGCTGCAGGGGTGTCTCGTGTCTGCTCTTTGATGGTGGTGGAAGGCCGACTAGTTTGATGAAGTGGGTCACCGTTGGTTTGATTGTTATTGGTTGGCGTGTTTATGCGATGTTTTGTCCTGCCGTTGATGAGAGTGGGTGTGGCCCTACCAAGTCATGTTTTGAGTGGGCTTTCGCCCTGTGGTGAGAGCAGGTGCGGCCATGCGGAGTCTTTGCTGGAGTTGGTTTGGCCATATTTGTATCGGTTTCTGCCAAATTTTTTGTATTCACTGTGCAATAATTTTCTTATTAGTTATTTAAAATGACAGAGCTGTTACCTTGTGTTTTAAAAAATGGTCTTACAGCGTGAGCGATGTGTCTTTTACTGCCCGTGGACAAACGCCGGACGTACAAGCTTGTCGCATGAGCCGGCGCCAAAAGTTCACAAGCACGTACAGCTAGCTGCGCGTTGATGTAGCATGGTGGAAGCTTCGTGGATCCGAGCTGCGTTTTGAACCGAGTTC